ACTGGCCAGGCCCTGCAAGGAATCGGGCTCCCTCCTCTCTGGTTTCAGGGTGCATCACCCAAACCACTGCTGCCAAGTCACTGCAGCTTGGCAACTCCTGAATTAAGCATCTGCCCCCTGGTGGTCAGTGTGTGTCATAGTGACCAGTCATTCCCAGTTGCTCTGCTGTTAGGGTCAATTTGCATATTACCCTTTTACTATATAGGATGTGGATCTTCTCTATTTTATGTGCATAAAAATCACTGCTGAATCTTTTTCCTATTACAGTGACAAGTTTCTGTGAACTAGGAACATTATTTTGTATTTCCAGGCAACAAGCTTTGTGCCTAGCCCAAAGCAACAACTCAGATTCCCAGATTGTGTACTTCAGTGGTTCTCTTGAGAAACAGATGTTATAATTGGCAAATTCTTTATTATTAGATTCTATTTTTAAGTGGACTAATTCTGAATATGTATTTAAGTTTTTAAATAGTCAAGCCTTTAGTATTTGCTATAAGCTAAAACTAATTAAGCCATAAAGTTAATACTAACATCATTAGAGTGTTAGAATAAAAACACTATGTAGCCACACTCCCAATAATACTGCTTTTCTCCTTTTTACTAGCTACAGAAGATTCAGGAGATGGTGTTGATGACACAAAGTCCAAAACATGCCTAATGTTGTAATATGATCCCTTGTTCTACATTTCAAATATTGTTTCTACTCTTGAAGAAAAAGAGAAAACATTCAAAAGAACTTCAGCAAATTTCATTCAGCAAACCATCAAGTAACACAGTAGGAGGGGCTTCAGAAAAGCTCCTCTTGTGACTATCAGGGAAAAACATACTAAGGATAAAATAAAGTTCTACAAAAGTGCAAAACAAGATGAGAATGAGTGTGTTTTAAAAGTTATTAACTGTACGCATCTGCTAGGGCTACCATTAACAAAATATCACAGACTGGGTGACTTAAACAACAGAAATTTATTTTCTCACAGTTCTGGAGGCTAGAGGTCCAAGTTCAAGATGTTGGCAGGGTTGGTTTCTCCTAGGTTTGTAGATGGCCAGCCTCTCCCTGTGTCTTTACATGGTCTTCCTCCTGTGTACCTGTGTCCTCATCTCTCATAAGCACTCAGTTGCATTGGATCAGGGCTCACTTATATGACCTCATATTACCTTAATTACCTCTTTACACACCCTATCTCCAAGTACAGTACATTGAGGTACTGGGCATTTCTATTTCAACATGCCTTTGTGGCGGGGGGGTGGTGGTGGTGGTGGGGGAGACACAATTCAGCACATAGCATTAATAATCGTGATTTATACTCAAATCCCTTCCTGAACTAAAAATACCTAATCAACATGTCTTATTGTAAGAGTACATACAGCATAAAATGTATAATGTATATAAATACTATATAGAAAACAAAATGAGTCAAAGGTTATTTAATCTGAGCTGCTTATCATCTCTTTCCTCTACATTTCACCCTTGATAATGGAATGGTAAAGCCCACTCCACTTTTGGCAGCTTATAAACTATGTCTTATCCTATGCTCATCCCTCTCCACAAGTCTGAAATTTTTTATTTTATGTGTAACTAAGAATATTTTATGTTCTGATCTAGTCTTCTCATTGAAAGAATTATCTACTTATAAGACATTACCTGGATAATCCTAATGCAAATTAAACCAGCTGATAAATATTATGCATTATTCAGAAGAATGTAATTTGATTATGTGACACTTTTACTATCAAAGCCTGGGAAGGACGTCGAGAGAGGTTACTTTTAAAAATGATTATTAGAACTATATATTGATTCTATGTACTTGTCCAGAGATGCTAAGGACAAACCACTACTTTTAGTACATGGTGCATGTCAGGACATTAGAAAAACTTAGCATTTCTTCCTTTACTTATCTATAAGCATAGACTGAATTAAAAAACAGACCAAATAATAATAATTACACCATAGATTTTTAATCAAAAGATACCTAAATTATAATGAAATGAATTGATGATTGAGCCTCTAATATTTTGTTAAACAGGATATATTAATTTTAAGCAGCTAAGAAATAACTCACCATTTTTATATTTTTATAAGATAGGTACTTAGAATTCTGACTGCTACTCTCACATAAGAATGTAAGGTCCGTGAGATGAAAGTTTTGTCCATTTTAGGCTGTTTTGTTCATAATACTACCCAGGCACCTAGAGAAGTGCCCAGTGTTAAGGTAGGTGTTCAGTAAATACGAGTATTTTTAATAAATCTCATCACTCAGGTTTATAAATAAGGAGTGCCTGTAAATTAATATTTTGAGGAAGAAAAAACTCAGTATCTACAACCAAATAAGTGTTTTCTATTTAAGTGGGTAAGTGGTAATACATCTTATTTCTACTGCTTAAAATAATTTTGAAATTCCACTTCTAGGGTTACTTTAGAGGCTGCATTAAAAAAATTATTCTTTAGCTTTATGTAATTTTAGACCCAAAAATATCAGTCAGCTCAAACAGCTTCCCTTCCTCATTCACTAGAAAGTGAGTTGTGGGGAAGAAATGTGCCACCTCTTAAGGTCTGCAAAAGTAGGAACTTCACTTAAGAGTAAGTACATCTCATATCCCAAACCAATGGCTCACTGCACACCACTGACTGCACTATAGTCAAATTTGAAATAGGTCTATGGGAGAATCAATATTTAAACTCATCATCTTGAGGCCTTTTCAAAGACTCCTTAAAAATATGACTCCCATGATTTACCATCCTATATAATAAAAGCCTATTATGCTAAGTGTCCAGTCGCCTGGCGACACATCAACTGTTCAACCAATCAAAGCATAATATGCTAATGGTAAGCTAAGGCCACTCAACCACTTGCTATGATGTGCACTGACCACCAGGAGCAGACACTCCAACCGATAGGTTAGCTTGCTGCTGGGGTCCAGCCGATCGGGTCTGAGCAAGAAGGGCTGGACACACCCTGGAGCCCTCCTGTGGTCCCTCCCCGGCCCCAATTGTGCACTGGTGGTGTCCCTCAGCCTAGCCTGCTCCATCTCGTAATCCAGGACCCCTTGGGGGATGTCAGAGAGCTGGTTTTGGCCCAATCCTGCAGGCCACTCCCCTTAGGGGGACACCAGACACAGGGTTCACGGCTGGCGAGTGCTGCTGCGGTGGTGCGAGCCTCTCCCAATCAGGACTGATTGGGCAGGAACCCACAGCAGGCACAGTGGGGCTGGCATGAGTGGGAGCGGCAGGTAGGAGCTGCAGGCAGCATTGGACTGTGGGTTTGGGCCCGATCCCCGCAGGCCACCCAGAGGGACACCACCCATGCACGAATTCATGCACTGGGCCTCTAGTTATGTATAAATGAATTAGATGTGATTATATATAATGATCTAAATTTACAAATGAAGTTGTCCATTGACCATACTTGCAATACCAAATGTCCTCACTCGTATTAATCAAATCATGCATCTTCTCCTCTCTATCCACCCCTTTGCTCTTTATAAAAGTGGGTCTTTTTTTTTAATCAATAAATACTTTTGAAAATTTGATGAAAACTATGGAGCCTTCCTTCCAAAAACACAGACACTGAAGTTCACAGATTCTAGGAGTGCTTAGCTCTCTTGAAACACAACCAATTGCTCTTGCAGGTGTGGACCCCGAGTTAAGAAGTTACATTTTAGAATAAATCTGTGCATAAAGTATACCCATACTTGCATGACTATATCTAAGACAAGCCCTATCTTATGCACACTGTATTATTTAAATTATTTTATTGTGTAAGCTCTGTTGGAGTCAACTTTTGTGAACACATCCTCTGTTTCAGACTACTGGGACATTATTTGGTTATGGTATTTGCTTTATAGTAAATTACACACACTGAAAAATAAAATTTGATTATAACTAACTCCCTTCAGTGGTAGAGGTGAGAAGGAAGCAACAGAAAGGTAGGGGGGAAAAAAGAGGCAGCTAGAAATAGGTAGTAATATTAAACAGGTGCTCAAAAGAAGGATGCCAGTGTATCAAATGAAAGTAAAGAAGTTGAAGATATACTTAATCTACTTAATGATTTTTGTGAGGAACAGTCAACTCTGTACAGTGTACTAGCTCCATCCTCTAGGACAGTGATGGCGAACCTTTTGAGCTCGGCGTGTCAGCATTTTGAAAAACCCTAACTTAACTCTGGTGCCGTGTCACATATAGAAATTTTTTGATATTTGCAACCATAGTAAAACAAAGACTTATATTTTTGGTATTTATTTTATATATTTAAATGCCATTTAACAAAGAAAAATTAACCAAAAAATGAGTTCACGTGTCAGAGGTTTGCCATCACTGCTCTAGGAGCTTATGATGAAAGAGTTGTAGATAAGTAACTCAAGAGATATTCAAAGGATGGGGAAAGGGTCTCCAATATCACTAATGAACTTCCAAAGCATCTGACGTCTTGAGGCTGAATTTTTATTTTCAAAGACAAATCACTCAAACTGCAACTTGTGGATAAAACATTTCAGAAAAGTCTCAAAGTATATTTTTACATTAAGGAATGTAGGCTTCTTTCTTCCATTTCACAGAAATAAATCTTGAAAATACTCATCAAATTCTTCTTCCCTATTTTAAAAAAAGGATACAAATTAAAATAAACAGAAAAAATATTACTATGTGACATAGATTAATAAAAATATTTTAATTCAACATACTTGCTGATTTTTCTACATGTCAATATATTTCATGATTCATCTACTAAATAATTCTTAGCTTCTAGAACAACCCAAATTATACCCAGATTGACTGAAATTAAAATATTTTATATGTTAGCACCTCTCCTTCAATGTATTTATTGCCTAAGATTTTACTTTGAAATATTTATGTCATTTCTTCTCTTTACTTTTTTGGTTCACTTTATAACTTCTCTTTCATTCTCATATTAAATTATATTGTGATCAAGAAATGAATGATGTATACATAAGCCATGGACACAGACAATAGTGCAGTGAAGGCCTGGGGAAGGAGTGGGAACAGGGAGGAGGGAGTCAATAGGCGGGGAAAGGGTAATATCTATAATACTTTCAACAATAAAGATACATTTAAAAAAATAAATGAATGAAAAATAAACTATTTTAAAGAAATACATAAGTCTTACTCCTAGCATTAGAGAAAATATATTTAAACTTCAAGTTTTTCTTACTAACAAAAGAGTAAAATAGTAAATGTAGCAGATTATGTCTAAAACAAAGAATAGAACTCTGAGATATTAATTATATTTTAATGTGTTTAAATACTATTAAAATCATAAAGTATTAAATAAATATTAATGCTAGGAGCCAGAGGAGTACTGTGGAAATGGTACAGGTTTTCAAGTCAGACAGTGTTTAAGCCATAGCTTTGTCACTTATTAGCTGCGGGAGCAAGTTAGTTAACTTCTCTGAGCTCAGTTTACTTTTCTGTAAGATAAAGAACATTACATTTCCTCATAGAGTTGCTGAAGGATTAAATGTATACAAAGTTGCTTTTCTTCCTTCTGGGAATGCGGAATCAAGCTGAATAGTCAAATTCGGTATACCAGTCTCTTTAGAAAATGCTCTTTTTAGATCAGAGATTCACAATAAGACTCTAACATTTGGTTTTAAATAACTGTGACTTCATAAAGTCCTCACAACTATGTCAAAATTGAAAAAAAATGACAGAATCAGATAAAGTTGATTTAAGAATTATCTGCAACTTGGTATTCCCCATGCTACTGTCCTTTTCCCCTAGCATGGCAGAAAAATGCAGTAGAATTTTAAAAATTATAGTAAGAACGTAAGTAAGTAAAATTAGCTGACTCTCTGGGTGTACTCAGATGTTCAGTACTTGATCAATGTCAAGTTTTATAAAGTCACAAAGAGTTCTGGATTATAAAAGCCTTCTTAGGATTTAATCAAGTGTCTTTATTGTCTAAAAAGGTGAGTTAACTCTAAAACCTATTCCATTATTTTCAGCTGTAAAGCTATTCAAGGGGAAGTTATACAGTTGAAAGTTTAGCCAATAATTTAACATGCCGGAGTCCATTCATTGTCTTCACTAGCTGAGTTTAGACAGAGACCCCCAAAAGCTAGTAAGCTTTGAAGTCCTAGCAAAGGTCAGGACTGTCCACCACCCAGTTAATCTAGGAACCACCCAGTTAATTTAGGTAGTTGAAGCATCATCCCCACCTTAGTTCACTTAATTCCTTAGATACTTGTGTAGATCCTTGTTGATTATTGTTGATCAGATACTCTGCCTATTCCTGGAAATTGTCTACTGATAAACTAATCAGATACTGTCTATTCCTGGAAATTGTCTGCTGATCTGTGTGTCATTGAAACCTCCTTACCCTAAGGGCTACTCCAGATCAGTAAAAGATTGGAGCAGCCTGAGCATCGGTGGAAGTCCTTCCGGACTTGCCCGCCTGGTCCCCCAATATTGCAAAATTATCTCGTGTCATTTTCCTCTCATTTGTGTGTGCCCCCTCTTTCAGATACCGAACCCTACTCCACGCAGGACGTGGAGGGAGTCTTACACGACATTAACATAGCAATATTTCATTTATAGCAACAACTTTTTAATAATGTGATGTATAATGACCACACGTGAGACTAAAATTTATTGAGCAGTCACTATATTTGTAGGTATTGTACCAGCTTTACATTCTTTATTTCATCAAACTTTAATAAACTCTATGCAATAGATATCATTTTATCCTCTTTTAACAGATAAAGCTCAAGTGGTGAACATCCCAATAGATGAAAAGAATTGATACCATTCTATCCCATATATGGACAGCTCCTGTCTTTGGGGCAAAAGTTGTTGGCAAGTAAACATTACACTTGTATATGTCTTCAAGTACAAGTTTACGATAATCAAAATATCATTGTCAGACTGCTCTAGAAGCTAGTAAACAACCCTTCTCTGAAGGAATCTAAGCAGAAACCAGAAGGTCATCATCTATTAGAGCTGAGGAAAGACTTACCAAGAGGAAGCTGAACAAGTTGGTTCACGGCTGCAAACAATGGCTGGGTATAAACTCTGATCTTACCAGGCTAAGTGGTCCTTGGCATCAAACAGACATTCATGAGCTTCCTATGCTGATGTAAAGGTTTGCATTATCTATTAATATTAGAACTTACTGTGATTTTTCATCGGTCTCTGGTAGTGGGCCCTTCCAAAGTTCAGACTCCGAGGTACTTTCTTCCTCATCAGAGTTTCCTGTTCATTTAAAAGAGATTTTTTAAAAATATAAGTATTATATTTAAAACACATTTTGAAATACCCACCAATGCAATTAACTTCAGATTTAACTGCAGTTTAGCTTCAATTTTTATGGCTCTCTGGAAATTTACTTCACTCTTCCAGACCAATAAATTCTTTCTAAAAATAAATAAATAACCTGAGCTATACCAGAGTCTTGGCAAAAAGACCAAGGATTTAAAGTCTCATGGAAAACTTTTCTAAGTCAGACGGAGTTAAAGTAGTAATTACAATAGTAACTTTTTTAAAAAAATTAAATCTTTATTGTTCAGATTACATTTGTTCCTCTCCCCCCCCCCATAACTCCCTTCCTCCCACTTCCCACCCCACCCTCCGCCCTCACTCCCTACCCACTGTCCTCATCCATAGGTGTACGATTTTTGTCCAGTCTCTTCCTGCACCCCCCATACCGCTTCCCCCCTCGAGAATAGTCCACTCCCTTTCTATGCCCGATTCTATTATATTCCCCAGTTCATTCTGTTCATCCGATTATTTATTCACTTGATTCTTAGATTCACTTGTTGATAGATACATGTTTGTGTACATAATTTGTATCTTTACCTTTTTCTTCTTCTTCCTCTTCTTAAAGGATACCTTTCAGCATTTCACATAATACTGGTTTGGTGGTGATGACCTCCTTTAGCTTTTTCTTATCTGTGATGCCAGCA